TCGAGCGCTCCTCCACAATTCGGGAAGCCAAGGGCAGGAAAGCCGGCCAGGACGCTGTTCAGATCTGGTAGACAGACGAGCCTGTTCAGCAGCTCCGAATTGATGGCCCTCACCACCTGCAGAACGAGACGGACAACAAAATGTCAGAAGGGGTACCTTATCTCTTAGGAGGAGAACCCACCACTCACCTTCCCCCTCAAACAACCCGGGAATCTCCTCCTCAGAACTCCCCCCCAACAATTCAGGGTGAGTGGAGAAGCTCCCTCCCACTCACACTCCACTTTGCCCTTCCTGACAGTCTCCCTTCCCCCCACCCCAAACTGTGACTGTCCCCAGACAATGACTTACCTCCATCAGATGTATCCAACAGTAGACCTGCCCATTCCAAATTGGTGTCCCACGGAGCGGTAGCTATCGGGGGTTGCCAGCTTCCAGAGGGCAATGGCGACCCTCTTTTCCACGGGGATAGCGGGCTGCAGGTGGGTGTCTTGCCGTTGCAGAGCAGGGGCGAGCAGCTCCTGGAAAGTGGTCTTTTGCATCCGGAAGTTGCGTAGCCACTCTTGGTCATCCCAGAGCTGCATAATGAGCCGGTCCCACCAGTCAGAGCTGGTGTCAAGCCTCCAAAAACACCTGTCCACAAAGAAGTTTGGAGGCAAGGGCAGTGCGGCTGCTTGACGGACGATCCCTTCATACCTCTGGTCTGGGTCCAGATGGGGAAGTAGCCTCATGACTGTGTCATGCAGATGCAGTAACACTTGCAGTATGATGGTGTGGGGCCATCACCTGCCCAGGGGCAGCTCTGGCTCCATCCAAAAAAAATGGGTCTAAAACAGAAAAACCTCCACACAAAAAACCTGCTGGGGTGTCCCAGGAAGCTGAGCACTCCAAACCAGCACTGCAATGCCTTGCTTACCTCCTAGAGGGACAGCAAAGACAGCTGCAGAAGCAGAGCAACGGGTGTTCATGGGGCGTCCCTCTCACCACGCGTCTCTGCAAAGGGCAGGCAGCAGCACCCGGAAGGAAATGCTGCCCCCATGCCCTGGCAGAAGCGGTTCCAGGCGGCTTTTAATTTCGAAAGAGCGTCCAGCAGTCAGGACGCTCTTTTTCGAAAAAGTGGATCAATTTCCCAATCCGCGTATTGTAGTCTAGATGCGCTTTTTCAAAAGAGGCTTTTTTGAAAGATACTTTCAAAAAAGCCTCTTTCGAAAGAGGCTTGCAGTCTAGACATAGCCAAAGAGACTTCAGCATTGCAACGCAGAGCCTCACACCTTTCAGATGTCTAGAAAAATAATTGGATTCAAGATCATGAGGCTGGCACCAGGCTCCCTATACAATGAATGAGAAGAAAGAGGTACCTAACAGTGTTCCCTCTAAGCTGCGCGGCAGCACAGCTTCCCAGGTGATTAATCACCCAGTCAGAGACTCAGGGCTCTGTGCATGGAGCAGACTTACTGGGTAGGGCTGATTAATCAGCTGTGAAGCTGTGCTGCCCTGCAGTTTAGAGGGAACACTGGTGCCTAACAATGGGATTTGCAAAAGACAGCATACCAAATTAGGAGCTGCCTAAGCTAGCCAATGAGAGATGTCCTGGTAAGAGGCATGTCCAAAGCCTCCTCCTTTCAGTGAGTTAGGTCTTTAAGGGCTTGTCTGCATTTACCCCAAGATCAACGCTGCGAAAGTCAATCTCCCAGGATTTGATTTAGCGGGTATAGTAAGGACCCACTAAATGAATCGCTGATGGCAACCCCATTGACTTAGTACTCCACAGGGTTGTGAGGAATAAGGGAAGTTGAGGGGAGAGTTTCTCCTGTTGACCTCCTGCAGTGGAGACATTGTGGAAATTCAACCTAAGATGTGTCAACTCCAGATGCTATTCATGTAGCTGGAGTTGCCTGTCTTAGGTGGACTTCTCCCCTAGTATAGACCTGGCCTAAGTCAGGTTCCTTTCTCTTCTCTGCTTAAAGGGGAGAAAGTATTTGAACATGGGTCTCTCACATCCTATGTGAATGTCTTAGCCACTGGGCTAAAATTATATAGTGAGGTACCACCTCTTCCAAGGGATTTTCAATAGCATGCAATCTGGCAAATGACCTGTGACCCTGCATACAGAATTGAGCCCCACCAATGCCATTCCTAGCTCGCCCTGCTTTGTGCAACCAAATGAGGCTTATGCATCTGGGTGTAAGGAATGAGGCATCACGGCCAAGGTCCAAAGGCAGAAATATAAGCATCTAGGAACTTTTAGCCTGAAAATTTAGGTGCAATTAGGCCTCCTGGGTTAGGCCACAGATGAGCAGGGGGTTGTGAATGCCAGTGGTACCTAAATGTTAGACTAAGTCGTCTAGGTCTCTTTGTGACTTTAGCCCATTGTATGTAAATTATAAGATACTAGAAAACTTTTCTGGCATTGCCTGGCTCCTTCAGGACAGGGAGCTGGCTGGCGGCGGGGCACAGGAGTCAGGGCAGGACCTTGGGACTGTGGGCAGGCGATGCAGGAGGATGAGAGCAGGGAAGGCTGCGATAGTGAGCGTTGGGGGGTGAGAAGGGGCTCAGGACAGAGGTCCCATTCAGCACTGGCCTTTTCTCTCCCCTCCCCCCTCCAACTACTACGGCCGCTGGGGCCTTTTCTTGCTCCCCAGTTTTCCCCTCTCCCCCCAGCTACCCATCCCTCCAACCACCAGGGGCCTTTTCTCCTCCCCCCCCCCAGTGCTGCAGCCAAGGGCTGGGGGGGGATAGAAGTTTTGGGGCAGGGGGGCTACTTACCTGGTGTGCTGGCAGGCAAGTTGGTGGAATCCCAGCCCTGTTGGCCAGTTCCCTGGTGGTAGGGCTGTCACCAGTGGACACTCTGCAGGATAACTCTCCCCTGCAGACTCGCTGCCCCCAGTGGTCACTCTCAGTATTGCATCCCTCTGAACCTTTCCATTTTATAGAAAACAGTTCCTTTCTTGGTGCTTTTGGTTCTCCTGGTACAACCCAGCCCTCCCTGGCCCTGCTTTATGTTTAAGAGAAGAGGAAGCTGCATACCAAATGTGGTGGTCCTAGCTCTTACCATTCAGAAGGAGTTCTTGAACAGACTCACAGACAGACCCACAAATATCTAATAGCATCCAGGCTGATCACCAGAGCAGACCAGAAAGTGGATTCCCATATCTGATAAAATATAACAGAAAGAGGTACCATTGGAAGGTCTGCTGCCAGTGCTAGAAACGGGGAATTAGTCTCTGGACCATTGAACTGTGCCAGTATGCAAACCTCAGCTCTTATAATGCTAAGTTTGACTGCTGCCTATTTCTGAGACTGCGTCTATCTTTTTTCTTTGCTTTGTTTTGATTAACATGTTTTATAGCAAAATGAGACTTTAGAGCAAAGATCCGTGCCTTTTCACAGAAACGAGCTCAGTTGCATAGGCAAGAAAGAGGAAGAGCCAAATTCTGATCTCATTTCTGCAGTGCAAGTCCAGAATAAATTCCACTGAGATCAGAACACCGAATGAGGATCTGGCTTCTAACCAGAACCACGGAGCAGGAGTGTCTTTCTGAATCTTGCTTTTGAATAGCAGTCAGTCAGTGAGAGAGTTAACAGAGCTGGACATGTAAGCTGATCTGTCAATGAATAACATACATAGTTGTTATGTTGAAGTTTTCAACAGGGCTGCATTTTGAGGAGGGAGAAGCTGTGCAGAGCTGATTTTGCCTTGGAAAGGGCACAAATACAAGGTTAGTGGTACTTGAAGAATTAGCAGCCTGCTCTAATTTCCTTTTGGGGCAGATATCTTCAAACACAAGCTGAACAAATAAAGTTATGCTGTTTATAACTCTCCCTCCTCCATGGGGAAATGTTCTGGTATAAACTGATCAGATTACTAGGCAAAATATCCTACAAAATCTTTTTATTTAAAATTGCACAAGCCAGGGTTAACAACATTTTGTTTCAACATCAGAGGGGAAATTATTCCTGGTAAATAGAATCTTTTTAGGTATCTCTCTCTCTCTCTCTCTTTCTCTCTCTCTCTCTCTCTCACACACACACACACACACACACACACACACACACACACACACACTTTTACTGTATGTTAAGAAACTGTACAAGCTATAACTTGTATCCAGAATGTATACATATTCCAGTGTAAAACAACATACAATTGTAAAATTTGCTAAACAGGTTGAGTGACTTTACATTGTGGGAGGAATAATGACTTCATCTCAGTCTGTTTTGGATAACTGAAGCAACAAGACTAGGTGAGGATGAAATTGCAGAGCTCCTTAACTAGAGTCATGTAACTCCTTAACTGAAGTCTCTCATCAAGGTACAAGAATTATGTTTGTATATGGATGACTTTTTTTAACAGAATTGCTGCCAAAACTAGTAGAAAGAAAGCTAATGAGGAAAGATGTTAAAAATGAAACAGCGTGGGTGTATGTGGGATTGTGTGTAACTAAACTGCTGTGTTAAGATTTAATATATTTACTCTCGACTCTATGGGATATTTATCAGAGGATCTCCTCTCCTGAGATGGTTAAGTATTGTTATACTATTCCTAATTAACATTAAAATAGACTGCAAAGCATTAAGGCAAAGTTTTCCTACAGTATATGTGAGAACAAATGTTCCCGTTTGATTGAGTCACCCTGCTTTGGTCACAGTCATGAAGAATTAATATGGTCGACTCAATCGAGCTACGGTTATTTATCTACCCATAGGAACAGAAGCTTGGTCTCTCCTGTAGCAGACTTGAGCTTGAATACAATTCTTCTTACTAGTACTGAATCACAAATGACTCACTTCAAACTTGGATGCGAGAGCAAAGTATACATTTGCAAATTGGCTCGTGAGGCATTGCTTTGCAATGTAGGTGGGATAGGTTTCATACTGTAGCAGTCAAGTTCTGCTCCTTTATTTCCTCCTCCTCTCTTTTCCTTGGTGCAGGATGGTTTTCTGAGTTCAAGATTTCAGTGTCATTTTTGAAGGTACTGAAGTAACTGCTACCCAATGCCCTGGTGAATGTATCATGTGGACTTTTCTGGCTTCACGTGAGACTGGAGTTCTTCACTAAAGATGGATGATTTTGCTTTGCTTGACCTGTTGGAATGTCCTGTGTGCTTTGAAAAGCTAGATGTCACGGCCAAGGTGCTACCATGCCAGCACACCTTCTGCAAACCTTGTTTACAGGGGATACTGAAATCCCAGAATGAGCTGAGGTGCCCAGAGTGCAGAACTCTAGTCTTCTGCAGCATTGAAGAGTTACCGTCCAACTTGCTTCTAATTCGCTTACTGGACAGTGTCAGATATGGACAAAATGTTACAAGGTTTGGCTCCATCCAAAGATCTCGGGTCCTGACCTCTCCTGCCTCCATCAGGAGAGACAGGGGAGATCCAAGAGGTTTACAACTTAATCAGTACAGGCTGGCACCAAATCCCAGGATCCATACGGAAGGGGTAAGGAGAGTCCATGTTTCTTAATATCTTCATAGGTAGAAAAAGTTACATTATTATGTGTCAAAAGCCATGAAAACATTCCTGTTAGTAGCACTGCAGAAATACTTAGTATAGAAGCAACTAGTTCACTGGATTACAAATCTGCCTGCTGTCTCCTTGTGATATTTGGCTATTTGAGCTGATCTCTGCAGTAACATTAAATCTCAAGCTTATAAAAAATAACTGTCTTTCTCAAAATCAGGTTGCAAAAATTTCAATAAAACAATTTTTATCATGAGTTTTCTGGTGCTTGCTTGTTTCAGTTGGGCCAGAAATATTTTCTGCTCTGACTTGCAGATGGATATTTTGGTAAATATATCTCCCATCTGAAATTAACTCAGGAAATGCAGAATCAAGAAAGATAAAAGTTGAAATGTCTTTTCTTTTTATCTATTGACTAGACTGGTCTTCTGCCCCCTGCCCACATCCGCCTTCAGTGATTTTACCAGCCTAATTTTAGAAACCCTAAGTGGCTTTCTCCATGTTATCTTCTGATATTTTTTATCTTATATATTCAACTCATGTTATTTGACCTTTTAAATAAATTTGGTTCTGTCTGAATTTGGGGTAAAAGTTTGACAACAGATTTTATTTTACCTGCACTGGGTTCCTGTCCCTAATCTGTCATCTCTTCAATTCTTGAACAGTTTTCATATAATTCTCATCTAAATCCTTTTCAAAATACTCAAAAACAAAGGGTTGTGAAGTTAGAGGGTATTTGAGTAGAATGATTGTCAGAGACATGAATTTACAAGTACATATACACTGAATAACCACATACTTGCATGTGCATAGTGTTTGTGTAACATTTAAGTACAAGCATATTTCTGTATACAATTAGAACTGGATACAGTATACCAAACTGTACCCTAAAAAAAGTATAATTTGGTAGATGCAGCCCATTGAATCTCACAACCTCTGTGGAGTTAGAAACTCTTCTTTCATGTGTGGCACTTTAAAATGATCTTTGGAAATGCAGCCCAGATTTTTCCATTTGAGTGTGTGAAAATGTGGCATTGCTGCCCCAAAAGTTTATGCCCTGGAACTCCTTCTGATGTGGCCACCAAAGACCAGTGTTGTTTAAGGGAACGGATGGCTGTTATTACCTGTCCATAGTTCAAATCCAGCACAGCTTGGTAGTGATCCAGAATTCCTGTTCTCTGGCAGCTGTTGGGTGGTGTATGAGAAATATGTTGTGTCTTTAATCTGATGTCCCATGGATTAATGTGGCACTGTAATCTAAATGGCATCCCAATCCAGCCTTAACCAAGAGTCTGAATTTCCCTCAGTTGTAGAAGTCTGTTTCTTTCCTCCTCTTCATTGTCTCCTATTTATTTTGGGTCTGCACATTCTAAACTCAAAACTCAGGTCATCTGAAGAACTGGGCTGTGCCCACAAAAGCTCATGATACCATCTTTATGTTTTGTTAGTCTATAAAGTGCTACCAGACCATTTGTTGTTTTTTATGTTTCTTTAAGGTCAGGGTTGACATAAATAAAAGGGATAGTATGGGTAAGCTTGCATTTCCACTGTGTGTTCTTGATCTAGTCTATGGTCTAGTGGTTCTAGATTGTCAAGTGGTAACCTTTCATCATCCCTAAATTCATACAATAAATAAGTAATAGATATGTACATACATACAGAGGAGGGAATTAGAAAACTTGCCTCTATCATTATATTATTACATTTATCATGCATGGAAATGGAGGCTGTAGCAAATTAAATTTTACAATGGTTTGGTTACTTGTCATTTCCCTGTGACCGTAAAGCGTAAAAGGTGAGGGCTGCTCTTAACCAGACTATTTGCAGAAAGGGAAGACATTTGATAAACTGCAAATCCCACTGGAGAGCACTAGCAGACATGGTAGCCTATTGGTGGATATTATTGTAATCCTAGTAGGGTTATTAAGTGAGCACACTGCCCTTATCACTGCCAGTAGTCTCATTTTTCATTTTGTTAGGTCACCGGCCAGATAAGAAACCAGAGCCAGTCATCATGGAGGAAATCAGTCACCTCGTTCTCCTGCACACCTACCTGTTCTGCCGCAAAATATATTTCACCCAGACCAGGAAAATTCTGGCTGTAGCTCAAATCCAGTCCTAACCATAATACACCAAGCAGAGTCCCAAATGGCCTGAACTGCAAATATTGATAGAGTGGAAGGCTTGGAAGGCATAATACAATAGAAAATCAATCTCCTGCTATTTACTTCATTGCTTCATTCTTTAAATTACTCTATGAATGAACGTAGTGCAAGTGACGAATTAGTCTGTCCTATGAAGTGAAGTTCTGTAGCCCCAGAACAAATATATCAGATAATAGAAGTATAAATTTTCTTTGACAATACCCCCATCTTTGTTCTTCACCCCAAAGACCATCACATGGGCATTTCAGCCTCCATCACCATGTAACCCTTAATTGCTGGCTGTATTAAAGCAGTCAATGAAATGACAATTGGTGGCATGGCCAATAGAAAATAGATCCCCTCTAGGAGCTGGAATTAATCACTGATGTATTTCAGAGAGGCTGCTAGTCATTTAGGGTGCATCTACACTGCACCCAGAGCTCAAAATAAGCTACACAATTTGAGCTAGGCAAATTGTGTAGCTTATTTTGAGTGAATTTTGAAATTTGGTGCTGTCTACATAGCACTTATTTTGAAATAAATCGCTATTCTGAAATATCCGGCACTCCTCTAATGAGATTTACAGGACGTCGGAATAGTGTGCCCATTATATTTTGAAATAACGGGCATGCTCAAAAGACACAGAGTAGCTATTTCGGGATACCTCTGTATCCCAAAATAGTGCTGCAGTGTAGATGTAGCCTTATCAAATAGCAGTCATTTTCAGTTACTGTCACTAGGGGCTGAATTTGCACCTTGAGATAGAAAGTTTAATAATTTATCCTGTTTACTTCCAGCCCCCATTCAAAAACTTAATTCCTTTTATGATCATCTTCTTCTTTTCTCTCTGGGTGCTTTAGATATTACTTAGCTCTCAGGACAAGTAAAAACCTTTTACTGATATTGTTCATTAGTGTCATTCAGCTATTTGCTGCTACCAAAACCAGTTAAAATAAAATTATCCTTGGAATTAGAATAGCTGATTAGACTACTTCCCTGCTGGCTAGAGAAAAGTCCAAGACAACAGGACTGTGATGTTCTGTATGTTGCTCTGGCATTGCCTCATTGAGTACTACTGAGGAAGCCCCTTAACATCTCCATGCCTTAGTCTAACCATCTGGAAATGGGCATAACAACATATACTATAAGAGTGCTGAAAAGCTTAATTAATATTATAAAGCACTTTGAGATCCTCAGAAATGCTGCAGAATGCTACACGTTTTGGTAGCTCCATTTATACAGAAGCAAAATGCAGGACAATGTATCACTTTAAAGACTAACAAGATGGTTTATTAGATGATGAGCTTTCGTGGGCCAGACCCACTTCCTCAGATCAAATAGTGGAAGAAAGTAGTCACAACCATATATACCAAAGGATACAATTTAAAAAAATGAACAAATATGAAAAGGACAAATCACATTGCAGAACAGAAGGGGGATGCGGGGGGGTGGGAAGGGGGAGGAAGGAAGGTAAGTGTCTGTGAATTGCTGATATTAAAGGTAGGGAGAGTGGGATGTTTGTGAGTTAATGGTATTACAGGTGATAATTGGGGAAACTGTCTTGGTAATGGGTGAGAAAGTTCAAAGACTTGTTAAGTCCTTGTTGGTAAGTGTCGAATTTTAACATGAATGACAGTTCAGAGGATTCCCTTTCAAGTGCAGATGTAAAAGGTCTTTGTAGCAGAATGCAGGTGGCTAAGTCATTTAGAGAGTGTCCTTTCTGGTTAAAGTGGCAAGAAACTGTTTTCTCTTTGTGATCTTGTCTGATATCTGTTTTGTGGGCATTAATCCTTTGGCGAAGTGTCTGAGATGTTTGTCCAATGTACATAGCAGACGGACACTTTCGGCACATGATAGCATAGATTATATTTCTGGATGCGCAGGAATATGTGTTCTTGATCTTATAACTTACTTGGTTAGGTCCAATAATGGTATCAGCAGAATGAATATGTGGACAAAGCTGGCAACGGGGTTTGTTGCAAGGGAAGGTACCAGGGTTGGTATTAGTGTGGTATGTCCTGTGGTGGTTGGTAAGAATGATCTTGAGGTTAGGTGGTTGTCTGTAGGAGACTATGGGTCTGTCTCCCAGAGGCTCTTTGAGTATGGTATCCTGTTCCAATATAGGCTGTAGTTTATTGATAATGTGTTGGACAGGTTTAAGTTGGGGGTTGTAGGTGATGACAAGTGGTGTTCTATTGTTGGTTTTCTTGGGTCTGTCTTGAAGTAGATGGTTTCTAGGTATTCGTCTGGCTCTTTCAATTTGCTTTTTTATTTCTCTGGGTGGGTAGTTGAGATTTATAAATGCTTGGTAGAGATCCTGAAAATCCCGGAGGCTAGCTTCAGGGAAAGGAGCTTAGGGATGGGACACAAACTAACGCTGCTGACCCTCCTGGAAGAAGCCTTGCATTTATATAGCACTGTGATATATACCGCAGTGATGAACCAGGCCATGTACACACATAACACACAGAAAGTCCCCTAACTGAACTAGCCCTTACTGACAAGATGTTGCTGACTCTAAAATGGTAACAATCACGGATGTGATTAGAATTGAAAAATTCAAGACAAATACATGAGTTTATGTCCTCTGATCACCAAGATAAATTATAATAATTCAAGGCCTCTATAAAAATGATATTGCCCATGTAGTAAACATAGCTGGACAGGGGGAAATGGTTTTCTGGTTAAGACAGATTGGGAAGACAGAGTGTCTTCTGGTAACAGCATAGGAGTAGCAATCTGGAGGCCATCTTGTCCCCCAGACTCCCTGTGGGATCTTGGGCAAATCCCCCATTAACTCCGGTGGAAATGGGATTGAGCTGCCTTTGTTCTCCA